GACTGGCAAGCCACTGTTTGATAAGATGTTACTTTTTAATGTCACTGAACAACACATGATAAAGCAGTAATTACAGATTACCAGCTGGAATTTGCAAAGTATTTTAATAGGCTCAAATGGCCTGTAATGAGGTTTTCTGTAAGTTTTTTTTCTTAGTTTAGGGCAAAACCCATATTAATTGAAGATCTCTTTTTGGTTCTCCTTTTCTCAAAGCAACTATTCTGGGTCTGGAAACTTGACTTGGCTTGAAGGAGTTCCTGAGTGGGGAGATTTTAAAGAAAATTTCTATCTTTGATTTATCCCTCAAATATTTCTGAGCCTGTAATATGCTATACAAGGCTTTGTGCACAAAGGTGAATGTCACAGTCTCTGTCTTAAAGAATCCTGTATCATATGGTAAATACCATAAGAAAGGTATAAATGATGCATTCTGGTGGAATGGATCCTTATTTTAAACTACAGAAATATGAAAAAATCAAGTTTTTTTGGTCTTAATAAAACACCCACATTTTTGGCTTTGTCTTAGACTGTAATTTGTATAAATTTTGACTTCTATTATGGTTTATCTTTAATAAAAAATTATTTCAACTAATCCCTCTTTAAAACAAGCCGTATTATACTAAATTGTAGGAATTGTGGTATGAGTTGTTTCATGTATGCTTTATATATGATTAACTTTTAATGTCTTTATATGCCAATATGGAATTATTCTGGACATTGTTCTCTGTCATGACATCTGATCGTGGTACAGTTCTCTTCCACAATTTTCTACAGATCTGTTTCTAAAAGAAGATACCATTTATGAAATCTTTAAATTTTCATTATGTTTATCCTGAGCATATGTTACTTAGAAATAATCAAATCATTTACAAATCATTTATCATTTACTTAAAATGTGCTCGTTTATTCAAATGAACATTTATTGAGTACCTGCTATGTGTGCCTGGCACTGGAAACATCAGTGAACCAAACAGACAATTTTCCTCCCTCTTGGACTTAACATTCAAGGGAGGCATGGTATCCTGACAATAAACAAGAATATGTATGTACATAAAGGAATGATAGCAGAAAATGTATTCATTTTTTGCATACTTCTTCCCTTTCACCTCTAATAATCTTTTTCGATCCATTAAAATTAATGACAGACACGTGAGATAATGAATCTTGCATCATTAGTCTCTTTGGTGTTCTTATTAAGAAAACCAGTAGCTTTAACTTACAATTAATGACAGTCACGTGAGATAATGAACCTTACATCATTAGTCTCTTTGGTATTCTTATAAGAAAATCAGTAGATTTAACTTACAGTCAAGGTGATAAATGTTAACATGTTAATCTTACATAACTTTGATGTCTAGAACAATTTCCTAGTATAATTTTTATCATCCAGATTTGCTTAGTAGGTAATAAATTCCTTGATATAGAGATAGAAAGTAACTTAATTTTTCTATTGAGAATTCTACACTGAGGGTTCCACTCTCACACATATATCATATATCTGATTTACTTTTCTTTAGATTATATTTAATTATCTGTCTTTATATCCTTTCTGGCTTTTCAGCTATTTCTGAAAAGGAAACTTTACTTTTATTTTTAAAAACTCGTTATTGGTTATAGGATACACACAGAAAAGTAAACAGATCACAAGTAAGCAGCTTAATGAATTTTCACAAAGTGAATATACCCATGTAACCAGCACCTAGGTCAAGAAACCAAACACTACCAGCACGCCAAAGCCCCCTTTATTATTCTATATTTGTTTATTTTAATCAAATTCAAGTTTCAGTTAAGAAAAATAAATCAGCTCTAAAGATATGCTGTACAACATTGTACCTATAAATTTACATACATGTTTTCCCCTCTCTGGTCACTAGGTACCTCAACTTCCCTAAATTCTAATACCATAATGTAGTTTTTCCTTTTTGTGAACTTTATGTAAATGGAATCTTACAGTATATACTCTTTTGTGTCTGGCTCTTTCACTCAACGTTATGTTTATGAGATTCAGCATTACTGCATATTGTTGTAGATATTCATTCTTATTGCTGTAGAACAGGCGTCAGCAAACTATGACCCACAGGCTAACTCTGCGCCCTGTCTATTTTTGGATAGCCAGTGAGCTAAGAATGATTTTTACATTTTTAAATGGTTAAAACAAAATATTTTTTGTGACCCATGAAAATTACATGAAATTCAAATTTCAGTGTCCATAATAAAGTACGTGGTGTCTTTTGCTCTACATAGGCAGAGGTAAGTATTTGTAACAGAGACTGGATGGCTGGCAAAGCCTAAAATATTTACTGTCTGGCTCTTTACAGAAAAAATCTGCCAGTCCCTGCTGAGCCATACCAGTGTTTGAATGTATCACAATATGTTTATCCATTCTGCTGTTGATGAGGAAATTGAGGTTTCCCGTTTTTGCCTTATGACAAGGATACTACTTTTTACCCTTAAAATTTAGCTAGTATTTTCTCATTAGATCTCTTCCATTGGACAGAGAACCATTTTTGTTTATTTTAAATTTTATTGTGGTAAGAAAACTTAACAAAATTTAAGTATACAATATGGTATTGCTGACTATGGGTACAATTGTACCTATAGATCTCTAGTGCTTATTCATTTTGCTAAACTGAAACTCGAATTTGGTTAAAATAAACAAATATGGACTAATTCCAAATATGCTATTAATTATAATTACTTTAAAAGACCCTTTATAGAAATCTGGCCAAAGATTGTATCTTACCTACGTAGGAGAAGGTTAAGATAGAGATAGAGATCTGTTTGGAGGTAAACAAGTGAATATCAAATTCATAGAATCATCATTGACTTTGCTTTGCACAGTTTCTGGGTTAGCATGTAAATTTGCCCTAAGTGGCTAGAATTGTAGATCTTTTTGTTAAATAACAATGTAATTTAATATATTCCGAATTTAATGTTCTGTAATTAGACTTGGGTAATATGGAAAGCAGCAAATTGCTTTCAGGATATCTAGCCTCAAGAGATTTTGCTGAAGCAGATACTAGGCTGTTCTTTCAGGCATTTAGAACATTAAGATTTGAAAGCCGACTTGATTAGTGGACTTAAAAATAGAAAACACCACTTTTTATAGACTATCTGTCAAGATTTTTTTGACAGATAATGTAAATAAGTTATAAATCCTTTTAACATTCCATCAGGTTAGGCATAGTTATTACTTTTCTTTTGTCTAGGTGGGTAAACTGAATGATAGATGATGCAGAATTGGAGTATTCATTTTGTCAGGTAATGAAACAAGTCTGCAGTCTTTCGTTCATTTCTATATTCATTAAACTATGTGCAAAGTATTTTGCTAAGTATTGCGGGGAATATAAAATGAATAAGACACAGTATATTTCACAAAGAACCTATAGTTTCCTGGGGAAGATGAACATGTATATAAATAATTAGAATTTAAAGCAAAATATAAAGCCTAATCAGTGAGTTGTAATTAATTTCAGTTATTAGGGTAAATTAATATTTAAGTTGGATCTAGAAGATTAGATTTTCACAAGCAGAAATAAGGGATTCGAAGTGGAGAACAGCATTGAGACATGTGAACATGAAAATGTGTGTTGAGTTCAAGGACTGCCAAGATCACTTTCAAACGTGTGAGATACAAGATGATAAAGGAGACCTTATTTTCAAGAATGCTCTTCTAATGCACTTGGACTTTATTCTGTGGGTAGTGAGGAATCAGTGAAAGGTTTTGATTGGACAAGTGACATAAAATCAGATTTATATTTAGGAAGAGAACTTCTTGAGTAGTCTGAAGCATAAACTATTTCACTTGTAGTTACCAAACCATGTAGCTAGCTCTGCAGTGTTTTAGATGGATTTATTTATTTGTGAGGAGACCATGTGACCTACCCACCTTTACCCATTGTAAGATTAGATTAAATTCCTGATTTACTTAGCCAAGGATACAAAATCTCTCTTTGAGGGGAAGTGGTCACGTAGTACAGGAGAAAATACAAATATATTTCAGTGTGACGTCTTTTGGCCTCCATAGTTTCTTTGCCAGGAAAACTTAATTTTTGTTGCATGTCTGCTCTTTTATACTGACTCACATTACCATTCCAGATTTAAAAATGTTTAAAACATCCGATTTGTGTCAATAAGGCTTCATTTTAATCATTAAGGTTTCTCAGGAGGATCAAAATTAATCAGTTTGAATTTCACCACATCCTGTTGCTACTTAGCTCAGATTTTCAGTAAACAACAAAATGGTCACATGAGTACAGCAGAAGGAACCAAAACAACTCATATGATCCACAAGATAGGAGATTGATCCTGAATTGTAAAGTTGCTATTTCCATAGTACAAAATACTGAATTTTAATTATCATAGTATATTACCTTTTACTTTTATTTATTATCCTTTCGTGAATTTCTATCCATTGAATACCATTAATGGGTATAAATCTGGAAGTCATGAACCTGATGAGTTAATGGTTTGGATCAGGCTCTAATTGGCTCAAGCTGTAGAAGTGCTTTTAGTTTCCACTATGTCCTAGTCTGCTTGGGCTGCCATTACAAAATACCATACACTAGGAGGCTTAAACAACAGAATCTTATTTCTCACAGTTCTGGAAGCTGGGAGGTCTAATATCAAGGTGCCAGGAAGGTAGGTTTCCTCCTGAGTCCTTTTCTCTTGGCTTGCAGGCAGCTGCCATCTCACTGTGCTTACATACCTGAGAGAGCAAGCTCTCTGGTGTTTCTTCTTACAAAGGCACTAATACCATCCTATGGGAGATTAGGGCTTCAGCATGAATCTTGGGAGGACACAAACATTCAGGCCATAACACTGTAAATTTTTTGCCATGACAATAAATTGTTATAATACCACATGTTTGAAGAGGAAATTAATCTTTATGCTTACTGTTTAGTTTGTATGTAAATTTTTTCTTAAGAAATTAATAGCAATCAGAATCTTTTTAGCTAATGAGTTTGACATTTTTCAGATTCATATAGTCAAAACCTGTGGAGTGCTGTCATTTTGAAGTCTACCAAACCCAAATCGTTTTTTTTGCACAGAGAGAGCAAGCAGTAAACAGAACAGGAACTGGATGTGTATTTAAGCTGTGGTGCTGTCTTGTTCCTATCTTTTGACTTTCTGAAGAGGTAGGTAACAGTGCCAGCTCTGGGGAAACAACTGTCTTCTGCTCCCTTTAAAAAATAAATGACTGACAAATTTTCTTTTGACCATGTATGTCTCCTGATATGAAAACATGTGTTAGTTTTCTTCATAGTAACAAAGATCATTAAAACATCTTACTGTTACTTTTTAAAAAATGTAAATGGACTTAATTTTTAAAGTAGTTTTAAGTTTACAGCAGAATTGGACACAAAAGTATAGAGTTCTCATATACTCCCTGGTTTCACATTCACACAGCCTCCCCCATTCTCAACATTATGGTCCAGAGTGGTACATTTATTATAGTAGATGAATCTGCATTGACACATCATTATTGCCCAGAGACCTTAGTTTACATTAGAGCTCACTCTTTGTGTTGAACATACTATGGGTTTTGAAAGCTGTATAATGACATATATTTAGCATTATAGTATAATTTATTGTATAATACAGAATGGTTTCACTGCCTTAAAAATCCTTCGTTTCATCTATTCATCTTTCCCTCCCCCGCTTCTCTTTTAGCAACCACTGATCTTTTCAATGTCTTTATGTTTTGCCTTTTCCAGAATGTCATATAATTGGAATCATAGAGTATGTAGCTTTTTCACATCAACTTTTCACTTAGTAAGCATTTAAGGTTCCTCCATGTCTTTTTCATGGCTTGATAGCTCATCTCTTTTTAGTACTGAATAATATTCATTGTCTGGATGTACCACCATTTATCCATTCACTACTGAAGGACTTCTTGATTGCTTCCAAGTTTTGGCAAATATGAATAAAGCTGCCTTAAATGTTTGTGTGCATGCTTTTGTGTGGACGTAAGTTTTCAATTCTTTTGGATAAATAACGAGGAGCGCAATTGCTAGATCAAATGGTAACAGTATATTTAGTTTGTAAGAAGCCAATGAATTGTTTTCCAAAGATGCTGTACTATTTTGCATTTCCACCAATAATGAATTGAGAGTTCATGTTGCTTCGCATCCTTGTCAGCATTTGGTGTCAGTATTCTATGTTTTGTCCATTCTAATAGGTGCATTGTTGTTACTTTTTGATTTGATGATTTATTTCTCAATGTCTTAGGAACTGCTTGATTGTGTGATAGTGTTATCAATATCTTTCATGATATAGACAATATATTTACCCAGAATAGAATCTAATTGCAATTGTCAAATAGTCTTGAGTCTAAATGTTTATATTGCTTTAAAGTATATCTATACTGTGATTACAACTATGATCACAAATTGTGTATGCATATAGACAAGAGCTAAGAAGGGAACTTTAAAAAGTGATATGTTGGCCTACCTTTTGTTTTCATAAGAATTATATAATATTTGTGATAAAGGAAAGTTTGAAAAGTTTACCTTTTAGGATATATTTTAAATATTTAATATTTGAGTTGATTTTAGTTATAATCCAGGTCATCTGTGGTCTTTGTGACATTTTTTTTCATTAGACACACATGTACAAAATCTTTTCTTATATTTGGTCATTTTTTACTCTGATTATATTACAGAAATATGGCAATTTGAGAAGAAATGGAATATGGGCTGCTATAGATTTTAATGACTTTAAGACATTAATGATGCCTAAAATACTGTACCCATGGGTCTGAAATTCAAGTTGTTCAATGATTTCTTACCTTAAATATTTTTAAATTCCGCTCTTACATGTTTTCTTTTAGGTTCTTTTGAAATTTGACAAATGTGATCCTGGATTGTGTTTTTCCTCAAAGGAAGCAAGAATAAGACTTGAAAACCAATTATGTCAGCAGTGTGCTAAGTCATTTTCAAGATAAAAAGACCACATTTTGCTGTTATAAAAACTGCATTGTAGGAAGGAAGGAGGGGAGTGCTCACCAGTTAGAGGATGAGGATTACCTCCCCATTTCCTTATTAGTACATCGAAATTATATTTTTCTTCTTTATTGGAGACCTCTGTGTGTGTGTGTGTGTGGTCATGGGAGTGGAAGACAATATCAACAAGGAGGAAGGTTTTCATTACCCTCAGGTAGGAAAGAGGGGACTGGAATCATAGGTAGAGAACATGAGATCTTATGATACTCAGCCTTGGAGAAGGGATAGAGATGGAGCCAGTAGTCTTATATTAGCAAACTTAAAAAAGACTGTTTGTTAGGCAGCCTGGTAACAAACAGTTATCAGTTAAATTGCCATCTAGTTTGAGTAAAATCCTGTTTTTTTCTGTATTAGGACAAGTTTTGTAATCTATTTTTTAGACTGGTTTTCTGCTTTTGCCAAAGATTCTTACCTTAGTTTTTGGGTCAACTGCTTTGCTGGCTGAATTGAGGGCTCCATAAACTAATGTCACTTGAAAAATCTTGGTCTTAAAGGCAAACCAATAAAAGGAAACTTATGGAAAGGAAAAGGGCATTCTACCTGTCAACATTTTACTGAGTTTCTTCGACATTAAAAAAACCCAAGTTCCTGTTGTTTCTATTTTAGGATTTTGAGTTTATTGTTAAACCCATTCTCTAACAAACCCAAATAACTATAGTCTTTTCTTCAGTTCCTGTTAAGAGTTATAAATAAACATTCTAAAGAATTATCTGCCTTTACAAAGAAGATAATGTTCATGAAATAACCTTAAATGAGGAAAGGAAGAAAAACAATGTTTCTTAAGTGTCTAATGTGCTGGATACTATTGTATGCTTTCATACATCATTTAAATCTTGTCACTGTCGTTTGAGATTGGTATTAGTAGTTCCATTTGCAAATGGAAGAAATGAGTCTCAGGGGTTTGGTAACTTGTCTAGGATTTTGCATCTAGTAAGATCTTTTTAATTTAAAGCCTGTGTCCTCATTCTGGTGTATTCTTAATCTGAGTCTTTTAAAATTCAGATAACTAAAGAAGGAAAAAGGATAAAATGTATATCTAACCCAGTTTTCTGTATTGGGCTTTCGAGTGCTTTATTTGAAAAATTTAATCAAATAAATATAGGCCAGTAATTGCATGTGAGAGCACCCTGAAGTAGTTTCATTAGTAAATGCAGCTTTTCTGGCCACTTTACACGCTAATGTTGTTACTACAATGAAACTAAGGGGAAATCTAAAGCCTGAAGCTTTTTTCCCCTAATGGCTTTCATGTGTACAGAACACATTTCTATTTTGATTTTTTTAGAAGCCTTTTGGAGCAATGAAGGTACCTTGCTTTTTTTCCCCATGGAAAAGTTACACAAATATATGAATGTATGCATATAAACACAGACACACACACACAGTAATGACTGTTAGAAGATAAATTGATGCATATTAAGCATTTTAAGGGTTTAATTGAACAAAAATAGATTCCAGTCAGGTAATACCAAAGAATAGGAGCACTTCACTGACAGGAGCTAGGGGAAAGACTCTTACAGAGAAGAGGTGAAGCAAAGCAAGGAAATTATTTGATTGGTTGTAGCTTAAGTAGTTCCCTTATTTGGGAAAGCCTAATTAGCTGTTTATGATTGATTGTCTTTAGGTTTTGATTTCTTAACCTTGAGGCATTACAGGCATAGATTTTGGTTTGATGTAGATTGTAGGCTGCTAAGGCATTAATGCCATCAATCTAATGGCCTCCTTGTTTAATTAACATTTCCTCCCTTTTGATCATTTATACATGAGAGATTGACGAGGAGTTTGGTATTAGCACTATTCTTGGTCACCATCAGGGTTAAGTTTTTCTTCTTAGGAAAGTCATAGATTATGATATCAGGTTGTGGAAGAATTGTTTTTACTGTTCATCTTCTTGTTTATCCTGTGTTTGTTTCTCCAGGTGCAGTGAAACCATATTTAAGTGAATACATATTTAAGATAAGACCCTTGAGAGAACACAGTGCACCAAGGAGACTATACAATGATGACTATCAGGAGGATAATACCAAGAGACTGATATGCTCCCTAGTCATGACCCCCATGAACCAAACCAGTTAGTATCAAATAAATCAAAGAATGTACCAAGTGAATTGTTTGTTAATTTCTTATATTTGCTACAATACCAGAAGTGTTGATCTAGCTATAGTGGCAGGTAATTGTTATGGCTCAGACTCCTCTTTGTTCAGTCAATAAGTAATCTAAAGCAATTTTTGTTATCTATAACCATGTTAGCCAGAAAGCCTAGAGACTTTTGTTGTGCAGCTATGGTCTTAGTGGTAGATTCAGCAATAGTTGTCAGTTAAGGAGCATCGTCTTTCCATGCATTAACAGGGAGAAAAAGCACATAGTGAAAAGGCAAAAGGAATAAAGATTTCATATTGGAGATGGAGATCTTGATCCATGATCTTGGGAGAGCTGTTCACTTCAAGGTGTCCACTTCTGGGGTGGAACCATTTTAGATCTCCAGCTGGTATACAGTTCCAGGAATTTGGAAGAACCCTTTTTAATTGGCAGATGTGGACCCATGGTTCAAGGCCCTAAAGTTTGGCTGTTATCTGGGTAGTGACCTGATATGGTCCCTTCCAACAAGGTTCAAGGGCAGTCTTAGTCCTTAATGATTCTAAGAAGAGTAAGAGAAAATTGGAAACATTAATTTAAAGAGACATAGCCATGTACTACAGGAAACTAGAAGAATTCAGGATCCAGTCCAGTTTACAGGTAGATAACAAAACCTCAAAGACAGTGAATAGGACTAGAATTTAATACCCACAAGGATGTGCTATAGTTTCCCATTAAAACATATTTTTCTCTCTATAGGTACCCACTTTTCTATCAGAGGTAAAGTAAGAGTCATTTTTTGCAAAATAAGTTTAGTCTCAAAAAACTTGGTCTAATTATTTACATAAATGTAGCAAGAATGATAATTGGTCATACAGGCTCTTTTAAAGTCAGCTTTGCTATAACTTTTCTTTTTTTTTCTCCCTCTTTAATTCCCCCCACCCCACTTCCACCCCCGACCTATGGATGTTGCCGTTTCCCCTTAAGAACCAGATCTCTGAAGTCGGGGCGTCACCTCCCACATGCTCGCGGCGTGCACCCGGGGCCTGGTACCCCTGGTGCACTTGGGGGGCCTGGCCCACGGCTCCACCTGGAGCGCAAATCCAGGACCTTCTGCGTGTAAAGCAGACGTGCTAACCACTACTCTATGGAGCCATCCCCATGTGTAACTTTTCATAAGGAGTCCTAGATTGGATTAAAAGATCTCTCAAGCCTGGGAAGCCAAGCCAAGGACTCACCATCTGGCTTTCCCTGGGATACCTATAGATTAGAGTGAATTCCTCTCTTCTTGAGGTCCCCCAAATATCCTGATGTTACTGGGGATGCCAGGAAATGACCTTTTTACACATCTGTTAGATAGGGCTTGAAACTGCAAGCGAGATACCCGGCGGTTTTTCCAAGGAGCTTTATTGATTGCATAAAGTCAACTTTAGTTCCTTAAAATTGTCTGGTTATATCTGATTTTATGAACATCATTCTCAAATATGACGTTCCTGACAAAGCCTTCATCAATAACCAGTGTTTTCAGTTGTGTCCCGTATAAGCAGAACAGATTTTGCTTGAACTTATGCAAACAACTATATTAAAATTAAAATAAGAATACTAAGTAAGTTACCGAATTCTGGAGGGATCAGGTAGGGAGGAAAAGTAAATGTTTTAATTCTGTTTACAAAGTTATACTTTACCAAATTGCTGTAAGTCATAGATAGCCAGCAGATGGAATAAGGTTACCTGCTCAGATGGCTTAAGCTTTTTAATATTTGTGGAGAAGACTTTTAACATTGTTTTTCATTTACCTAGTTTCGAAACAGCTTCTTTTGTCTTTCTGATAAGAATTATCTCCCTACAGTTTATATTTCAAAGAGATGGCTCTTGGTTCTTAACAGAAGACCAGGAAGAACATTTCTATCTCAAAGGCTCAGAGAAAGGATATAAGTTTTCTCCAAGAAGGAATTTAGTTTTCAATGTCCTGACCATTCACAACATCTGCAAACATTTTAAAATGAATAAGAAGAGGTTTGGGATTGATAAAAAGCATTGGTGGGTTTTGAATTGTTTCTAGAGCCTCATTTCTGTTCTTGTAAAGACTTGATTTATAAGGCAAAGGCAGTTTTTAATTCATCAAAGAACTGAGTGGTAACCTGAATGATATCATGGGGCTTACCCACTCATCCAACTACATTATCTTCAATTTGCTTTTTTAAATCAAGGAGATTTCCAACTAACATGAAAGTCAAAATATTCCAGTGTTCATTGTATCTTAGGGGAGAAGGCCTAAAACGAAAATTCCTGTCAGGCTCTGAATATCAATTTCCAGTTTGGCTAACTTCTGTCCATAGAGCTCATTAAAAAAATTCTTTCAAATATCTTATTATCAGGCCAGGACAAACAGTAATATTCCTGGCAGTATTGAACTCTTTTTTTAAACTATTATTTTTCCCTTTTTCTTTTAAACCACAGGCATTACCTATTATGTGACTCGAAACCAAAGCCAATAAGCCTTTTGTAGCTTAACCATGAGCACAAGAGGCATCCATCCCTAAAGAGGGTACAGGAGATGCTGCCCTCCCAAGATTCAGAACCACTCTGAAAGATAACCAAAAGAAAGACACAATTCCCATGAGAGTTGGCAACGGCTGGTAGGATACTAGCCACAAGTGGGTTGCAACCCACATTTCTTTCTGGCTATATTATTAGAGCCCCCAAACCTTTGTTTGAGCTGCCTGTACATGCAAGAACTGACACTTGCGTGCTCAGATAGGTGGAAATCTAAGCCAAGTTCTCAAGACATAAAATGAGACAAGAAAGCAATAGTTGTCCCTGGGAGGGAAAGAACTGATAAACAAGGAGTACCTCCAAACCAAAATCATAAGAGTCTTACTTTGGAAAAGAAAGGACAATGTGAAATTTTACCTTTTTCTCTTAACCAAGTACTACAGATAGAGATATGGGAGAGCTGACTTTGGTAAGAATTCTCAGCTTTCTCTGTGTTCTGCTAGTTTTCTTAGGCTCTGATCTGCAGGCTCTAGAGTTAGTGGGGTGTCTTAGTAGGTCCCATCCTGGTCATCATAAAATGTAGAAGAGGAAAAATCATTATCTCTCTACCCTGGCTGAGACCCCTTTTTTTCTCTAGGGCACTGCATAAATGGGTAAATTTAAATAGGTTAAAAGTTTCCCATTGTAGCCACTGCAATTCAGGATTAGCTTTAGTAAGGTTAACCCACTTGTTCAGAAAAACACAGGTTTGGACTCAATTTTTATACACATAGTTAGCTGGAGTCCCAGATGAAAGAGTCGTAGACTCTTTGGACTCAGAGGAACTCATTTTCTCTTTCTCTCTTTTTTTTCCCCCTTAAAACAAAATTTTATTTACTTGACTCTTCACACTGGACTGAGTCTAGTTTGTCAGACCTAGTTTGGATAAAGAAATGCTCAAATAAAATCTGAGCGCTCATAATACAAAAGCTGCGGAGCTCAGATATCCCAAAGCGACATACTGATGACCTCCAGGTGCAGCGAGAAAGCAGCGAGCACAATGAGCTCAGTGAATACTTCCACCTGCTCATGGCTCATTGTTTCCTGGGGGCCATCAGAGGTCCCCTCTTCTGACAACAGAACTGTTAAAAGATAAACTGAGGCATATTAAACCTTTTGAATTTATTTGAGCAAAAATTGATTAGAATCAGGCAGCATTTTGATCAAGTTGCTTGAAATCATGAAGATTATCTTATACTGTAGTTGGAAACATACAAACCCATAACAAACATTTTTTTAATGCTTTACATTTTTTTAAGTAAATTTTTTTTTTCATGTACAGTTGGCATTTAATATTATTCTATATTAGTTTCAGGTATACAGCATAGTGATTAGCTATTTATATAATTTACAAAGTGATCCCCCCCAATAAATCTAGTACCCATCTGGTACCATACATAGTTATTACAATATTATTGACTATATTCCCTATGCTGAACTTATTTATTTAAAAAAATTTTTTATACAATAATATTGACTATATTCTCTATGCTATACTTTACATCCCTGTGACTGTTTTGTAATTACTAATTTGTACTACTTCATCCCTTCACCTATTTCACCCAGTCCCTCAACCCCTATCCCCTCTGGCAACCACCAGTTTGTTCTCTGTATCTGTGAGTCTGTTTTTGTTTAGTTTGTTCATTAACAGAAACATTTTTGGCAATTTTGGTGAAAGATCAAATATCCACAATTCTACATTCTACCAAAACAATTTTTATTTTAATAATTCCTTCTAGTTTTTGTTTATACATATGTTTATTTTTCTGTAGTACCAGTCATAATGTATAAATTATAATCAGATTTTACCCTAAAATGTAGACAGTTCTATCTTAGATTTTCTGGGACAAACCTTATTTTCATTATCCTGCTGTCAAAATGTGTTAGATCATATTAAATAATTTGAGGTTTTAGAAATACAGTTTTCCATGTCATATAGTGTAATTATTTTAACAACTAATATTGTATTGACATTTTACTTGGTTAGTACATATTTGGATTGTTTCTAGATTTCCTTATAGGTAACATTTCAATTAGTGTTTTTATACATAATTTTTGCTTCTGTAGAATTATTTATTGAGTTTATTTCTCAAGAGTGGGTTATTAGATGAAAGTTTATGAATATATTGATTGTATTTTGTCATGTTGCTTTCTGTGAGGCCTTTCCACTTTATAAGTGACTGTACTAGCTTAACTATTTTTGGTCAACATTGTTTAAAATTATGTTTTGTTTTTGTTCATTTAGTTATACATGGTATTTTAAGATTGCTTCACTCTCTGATAGAGTTCAGGACATGCTACCCCAAAATATGGCACCTTGGCATATTGAATATTTTAAGTCAAAGGAGTTTGAGAAAAGGGAGAGCAGAATATTTACTCTGACCCCTCCCCACCACCCTTCTTCCCTGAAACAGGCCATTAAATCTTCATGAGTGGTGGCC